TTATGGGTACAGAAATTATATTTCAGAAAAGGTATTTTTTTAAAGCAGGCTCATGTTTTTGGCATGTTAAAAATCCCTCCCTTGAGGGCTGGAGAGATGGCTCAGTGGTTAAGTGCACTGGCTGTTCTTCCAGAGGTCCTGAGTTCAATTTCCAGCAACCACATGGTGGCTCACACCCATCTATAAAGGGATCTGATGCCCTCTTCTGGCATGCAGGTGTACATGCAGACAGAGCACTCAGACATAAATCAATGAATGAATGAATAAATAAATAGGCAGATACATAGACAGATAAATAAATCCCTCCCACAACCTTTATCACCTTCTAGTACCAACTCTTTCAACCTTCCCTTCACAACTAATACATATGCCTGTCATTCCAGCAATCAGAAGGCCAAGGCAGAAGGACTGTGAGTTCCAGGCAAACATACACTACAGAGGAAGACCATTTCATAAAACTGAAGATGGAAAATCGGGTGCTGGAGGAGGTCTCAATCTGTTCTCTCTAGCCTCTGATCTCTTAACTCAATGAATGTGAAATTTCTTCCCCAACCATCTGATCAAACTGCCATAAATGTAGTGCAACACACTCGTAAGAATCTTTACCAAATTCAATGACTTTCTACTTATCAAATTCAAATTTACTCATTATAATGATTATTCTGACCAACTACTCAGAGAATTTAAAGGTTTATTGTTTTTAATTATTTAGTTGGGTATAATGGCACACCTTTAATCCTGGCATGTAGGAGGCAGAGATAGAAGGATCTCTTCGAGACCAGCCTGCTCCACAGAGAGAGTTCCGGGGCAGCCAAGACCACATAGAGAGACCCTTTCTCCACATGGGTGCTGGGAACTGACCTTATATCAAACCCTCCTCTGCCTGGCTTAAATGTTGTTCTCTGGCCTATTTCTAGAACTGCTTGCTGTTGGCACACTCCTCCTGCGTGGTGGTCCCTTAACCAAAGGCTTCCACTACCACTTAGAACATAATGTGACGGGGCTGGAGAGAGGCTGAGAGACTTCAGCTCAACTGCTGAAGTCTAAGGCTCACAGCTCACACCCATGGGAAAGTCTGAGGTGCACGGTTCCACCTGGACGCTCCCGAATACCATCCACTCCACTCACGTGCCAGAAGCCAACTCATGGTTCCTCCTCAAATTTACTCCCCTTCCTGAGTCCTCTTTCTTGGTTTGTCTTATCATTGTCTTTTGGGGGACCTAGGATGAAATCCAAGTCACTGTATCCAGTTATTTTACCTTCACTTTCAAAAGCCAATTTTTGCTAAATTTTATTCAATGTGTTCTCTAAGTATTTCTGCTGGCTGTATCCTAACGCTGTGCTAGTTTTACACTCTATTTCTCACCTCAGTTACTGACAATAACAAAGACTTTCTAGGGGCTGGAGAGATGGCTCAGAGGTCATGAGTTCAATTCCCAGCAACCACATGGTGGTTCACAACCATCTATAATGAAATCTGGTGCCCTCTTCTGGTGTGTAGGCAGAACACTGTATATGTTGTAAACAAATAAAAGAAAAAAAAAAAGACTTTATGAAGTCTCTCCATAGTCAATTTTATTTACCCCTCTATACTCTGAAATCTACATTCCACAACTCTAGAATAATCTTTCTAAAATGAAAACATTATGATTAAACTTACGACCAACACTGCAGCTACAGAAAAGACTCACCTTTCTGACAAGGTTATACAAAGTACTCCTGCTTCCTACTTAGCTCTGTCCAAGTCCTTCAGCCTTGACTTCCTTTTCCAGTTAATTCTTCCTGATCCTTAAGGACATAGCATGTACAACATCTAACTCCTCCTGCCTCTCCCACAGCTTTTCCCTTAAGAACCTGAGAACTGCGTCTTGTAGACAGTCACAGAACCCCTCTAGTTCCATTTCCTACAGAGCAATCTTAGAAACATACTGCAGTCCGCGGGCTAAGTGTTATAGAGCAGCAGATAACTGGCAGACTCTTGTAGATATAAAAATATTTTGTTTTGGTCCCAGGTGTGGGATGTGGGACTGATTCACATGGTCCACAGCAGCAGATTATTTGCCTCATGCGGGCTCTGAGAGGAGCTCTTTGCCAGCCACGGATAGTTTAAATCTGAGGACTCTGGAGAGAGAATAAATGCCAGAGACCAGAATGTGAGGAGGAGCTCCAAGAACAAGGCTGCTCCCCCTTGCTGCTCCTGGTTGTTGTTGTGAGACAAGAACTTGACGATCTCCTGAAACAAGGATTGGACTGGCTCCAAGGAACCTGACAACTCTAACCAGCAGAAAGTAGCTATGAGAACTGCGCCCCCTCTCCCACTAATCCTTTCTTTCTCCTACCTGGTGTTGGGGTGATGGAAGGGATCAGGTGGAGTTGGGAGAATAAGATAAGACACATAAATAAAAGAGCTTTTAAAAATTAACGCCAACAGTCTGTTTCCCTCACCCCCATCTGGTCTGGTCTGTCTCAACAGCTCCTGTCTGCTTGCAGGACAAAGCTGAAATTGCTTTGGTGGCTTCATGTCTCGCCACCACCACCATATGCAGCTATACTTGAGGTAGCTATCCTTGCAGATCCTACTAGGTAGTTTTACACACCTCTGCTCACACTATTCCCTACCTAACTGTACATCATTTCCACGGCTAGCTCGTTGCTTTTACAATGTTAGGTATCTTCCATTGAGCATTCCCAAACTGTACTTTCATCGCTATTTATAGACATATGGTTCTTTTCTAACTACTGCCCTCTTCTAGAGCTGCTCCCTTAAGAACCTGAGAACTGCGTCTTGGATACACTCACAGAATCCCTCTATTTCTACAGAGCAATCATAGGAACATACGGTAGTCTGCAGGCTGAGTGCAGTACAACACACACATGCCCAAGACATACCTATAGATGTGTGTGTGTATAAACCACGTATCCGATACACTCACGTCTTACTTGCTGACGATTCAAGAAGAGATAAACTTGACCATCTGAGAGCAAGTGGTCCTATCCATCTTCAAGCGGTCGTCACTTGGCAGAGAACCTAAACTCAGTAACTCTTGTAGCCAGCATTTTTCCCACATCTTACATACATTAGCTTAAGTTCTATCAGGGACTTTCTTTTAAAAGAAAAGAGCCGATGGACATGGTGGCACAAGCCTCTAATCCCAGCACTTAGGACTCAGAAACAGGAAGATCTCTGAGTTCAAGCTCCTGGTTTACACAGGGAGGATCCAGGCCAGCCAAGAATACACAGTGAGATCCTGACCCATCTCCCCAAAAAGAAGAAAACAAAAGATGCTTTGGGACAATGTTCTGGACCTAATCTCTTCTTGCCAAGCAACTGGCTGTGAAAATGTAACTACACAAAATAAAGTTAATATTTGCTTTTCAAATTGTTTATTATTTTTAATTATGGGGGAGATATGCTGTTGTCTGTGGAGACAAGAGATGTTGGGTTTCCAAGGAGCTGGACTTACAAGAAGTTGGGAAGGACCTGATGTGGATAGTGGGGACCAAAACTCTCTAAGAACAGCAAACCTTTTAACTAGTGTCTGTAGCCCCAATGCACACTCTCTAAAATATCACTTCTGTCTTTCTAAATTATGAGGAAGCAGTCCCTGGAAATTCTATTATGAGAGACCACCTTTTGAAAAGACAGCAAATTCAGTTATCTCACTTGTTTCTAGATACTTTGGGTTTTTGTTTTTTGAAACCGGGTTTCTCTTGTGTAGCTTTGGCTGTCCTGAAACTCGCTCTGTAGACCAGGCTGACCTCAAACTCACAGAGATCTACCTACCTCTGCCTCCCACATGTCTGGGATTAAAGGTGTGTGGCTTTAATAACAGCAGCTACTATTAAAGTAACCTATCTCTCTTGGATCTATGAGACACTCTGAAAAAAATGGAACCACTCTACTGACTCCAGACCTCTGCTAATGCCAGCACCGCTGACGGTAATTATTCATTTCCAGGAAGATACTCAGGATCTTGAAATCAGCAAGGTAATTTCTACAAGAAGTGATGTGACCTTTCTCATTCACTTCTTCTTTCTCATTCACTTGTTTCTTCCTTTACAAGTGCTGTCAACCTGAACAACAAACCAAAGGTGGGCCTATCATCACTTAGATATTTTGTGACTAGCAGCCAAGTATGGTGGGATGCTACCCTAGTATCGCAGCCTTAGCCCACATCCATTCCATTAACGCCACTGAGGCTGGGTAGAGCAGTTATCCACATGGTAGCACTCCTGCCACAAGCACAGACCTCCAACGGAAACATCAGCGATCTTCAAGAACAGGAGGAAACTTGGGGTACACACGCTGTTTCTCCAGAAGAATGCCTGTAATAATCTCCAAACTTGAAGCAGCACTACTTAAGACTGCAAAGTGGAATATTTTGTCAAACCTGTTTCACGGCGACATATTTAAAAGACGGGGGCTGGGGGGGGGGGGGGGAGCTGGCCTCGATTAAGAACATTCTGGCACGAAAACACTTGAAAATGCGTTGAGAATGGAGTTCTCAACTCCAGATCTGGCCGTCCATGTCCACTAAAACCTGCAACCAGAGGCGCCCCGCTGTTCAACGGCTGCAGTGGGCAAGAGCAGCTGTTCTCCACCGGGCATGCACGGTGACCGGTGGGCAAGCCAGGTGCGACTCACGCCCCGGAAGGCTGAGTAAGGCCAGTCCCCGGCCAGGTGTGGCCGGAGGAGAAGCCCCGGGGCCTGGAAGCTCCGAGAAGCAGCTCGATTCCCAACTCGGCCCTGGCTCCAAGAGCGCCACAGGACACACCCGGGCGCACCCAGGGAGGCCTGTCCGGCAGGCAGCGTGACCCTCCCCAAGCGAGCAAGCTCCCGGGTGAAGCCTTCCCGGAGAATACGCCGCGCAGCAGCCACGCCCCCCACCCCCAACTCCGAGCCCAGCACGCTGCATGACAGGCGCGGGCGCCAGACGGCTGCCACGGGCACCACGCCGCAGCGGCGCGACCCCCGCGAGAGACCGTTCCCCGCCACTCACCAGTGCCTGCCGCCGAGCGACCGTCCGCTCCGCTGCAGCCGCCGCCTCCTCGCAGTCACGACGCCGCCACGACCGCCGCCTCCTGCGCTGTCCCCGGAGCCGGCCGCGGGAGCCCCATTCCCACCCCGCCCAGCCTCCGCCTGTTTACAATGATTGGGACGAAACGGGAAGAGCCGGCGCAGCGCGCACGCGCACGCCCTCCTCCCGCCGCAGCCGGCTTCCCGGGTCCTCGGATTCCTGGCTCTGACGGCTAGGGCCGTCCAGGGCAAACGCCCCTTGCCCTCGCGCGGGGCACGCCGGGAGTTGTAGTTCGAGTGACCCCGACATCCCGCTGCTGGAAGGTCTTGTCTGGGATATAAACCACAACACCCAGAAAGCATCGCGCCACCCGGGCTGGCACTTGCTGGGGAGCCAGGGAACCCGCGAGAGGACGCGCCAGGCGCTAAGGCTCTGCGGGCGCCTGCGCAGTGGCTTGGGCATCCAGCGCCACCAACGCACACATCCACACACGAACACACCTACCGGAACGAATCCCAGTGAAGACAGTTTGGGAACCCTGCAGAGCTGCGCAGGAAAGAAAGCGCTCTCCTCCCAAGCTCTGGCCTGGTGTCCGCAGCTACCGAAAGTGACACTTTTTTTCCCGCGTCTGCGTACTTCAGTGGTTGCAACCAGTTAAACCAGCCTGGGCTGCCGGCCCACCCGCCGCTGGGTGGAGCACCTTGCTGGCCTTCTCTGGGCGGGGATCATCCCTTAGAGAATTCTCGCCTTGGGGATTGGAGGAAGAAGCTCCGGGGGCCTGTGCCGGGCAGTCCGCAGGACCCCCGAGGTGTGTTGCGCGGCGGCGGCGGCGGAACAGCTGTCTCCCACCCACTTGCCTCAGCACTTAGCAGTCAACGCCCGAGTGACAGCCGCTCGGCATCGTGCTCCGCTCGCAGATAGGAACAGCTGAATACCCTCCCGAGGTCCCCCGCGAAGGCTGGCGAGCGTGTTCGCTGGTGCATACCGAAACGTGAAAAACAGCAGTCCTTTGAAGTATCCTGGTTTTATAATTTTGGCAGTCAGAGGAGAGATGAGATTTCTAGTGGGTGATTCTTAACGATCTATTCCCAAGAGCCACATTTATAGAACTTCATTACCTATTTAAATTGATCTCTGTGATCCATTGTGTACTATGCTCTCAAGCCATCTTTCTTCAAATAAGACAAGTCTGTCCCTGTACAAAAGAGTCCCCCCTGAGCGAATCACTAAGGTCCTAGAGGAACCTTCCCAGAGCCCCCTCCACGGGGAGATGGCCTTGTGAGTATGCGAATTTAAATACTCCTTCCCGCTGGCAGTGCTGATTTGGCCAAGGGACGGACACTACCCCAAGCAGGGCTTTATGGAGCCCTCTCCTGAAATTGACACATGAACGTGGGGTTGGGGAAGAGACGGTTTTTCACTGAGTAATTACTGGTGGCCGTATTTACTGTAACATCACGTGGCTTGTCCGCTGTGGAGGTGAATGAGGCCGAAAATAGAGAGGTGGAGGCAGGAAAATCAGGAGGGGTCTCAGTGAAGGCTCCCTTCTGAGCAGATCCTTAAGTGCTGCGTTTCCGTGAGGCCCGGTGGGTGAGCCAATGATGAGTATTCTATACACACTTTTTATTATTTGTGCTAACGGAGGTACAAATATACAGTATATTTATTGGCTGTATCTCAGCTTTTTTTTTCCCCTCCTACTTAAGTGGCACCACACAACCATTTCTTCTGGTTACTGTTTCAGAAATAAGCGTCGTGTCCAACCAGAGCCAAGGAACCGGCAAACAGAGGCTTCTACTAAACGGAAGCTTCCTTTTTTTTTTTTTTTTTTTTTTTTTCCTGGTACAGTGAAGTATTTCAGGTCTGCAAATGTAGGAACCATTTCCCCTCCAACCAGGGAAAAGCTAAACAGGTGAGAACTCAGGGAGAAGATGAAGCTCATAATGCCAGACGAATACAGTGTGTTCTGGGACAAAAGCTCTGCGGCTTTGTTTGCAGCCCGTTATAAAAAAGACTCTGGGTGTGTTGATTTCCTGCACTCGTGCAGGTTGAGCCTACGGCCTTATATGCTAGGTGGACATTCTACCACTGAGCTCCAGCTCCTGTTGAGCTGACTGGCTTCACCTCCAGGGGACTGAGGAAGAGAGCAAATGTGCGCCTGAAAGCCGTTTGTTGCTCTACGGTAGCTCTCATCCTAACGCCGCAGTCCCTCGGGCTGTGGTGACCCCCAACCGTAAAATTATTGTTGTTGCTACTTCCTAACTGTGATTTTGCTAGTGTTATGAATCATAGTATGAATATGTGTTTTCCCGTGGGGTTAGGTGACCCCTGTGAAGAGATTGCTTGGCCCCCAAGGGTTGAGGACTACCACAGGCTGATGTCTGATCACCTTAAGGTCAAACTTCATCTCCTTCCCAGTTATTGACACTTGTTATCTACCAGTTGATTTAGCCACAGGAAATCTTTAGGAAGCTTCCTTTCCCTACCCCAACCCTTACACCCCTAGCACCCTTGTGTCATATACATGCAAACAGACATTTGTCTCCTCCAGTACACCAATTTTAGTAATTTAGATAACAACACTATCCATTATTTATAGGACCAAGGCTTCGAATGCTATTCACAAGCACAGGCGTGTGTGTGTGTGTGTGTGTGTGTGTGTGTGTGTGTGTGCGCGCGCGCGCATGCACACATTAGAAAAGAAGAGACTCAAAATTTGACAGATCATCCTTCCCATCTACCAACCTACACTATTAAAGGGTCCAGGAAAAAAAATACTGGGAAACTTTGTTATTTTTCTGATATTTTATTTTTTGTTCATTAGTTTTACTCTTTTCATTTTCCCATTTCACCTTTTACTATATTTTAGTAATATTTTGACTATTTTTAAATAAATTTTTAGTTTTAATTTTTTTATTTTTATTTTGTATATTAACTACGCTTTATTTATCTTATATCCCAGCTATAGCCCCCTCTCTCATTCCCTCCCAAACCCACTCTCCCTCCTTCATCTCTTCCCTGCCCCTTTCATAGTCCACTGATAGGGGAGGTCCTCCTCCCCTTCCATCTGACCCTAGCTTATCAGGTCTGATCAGGACTAGCTGCAATGTCCTCCTCTGTGGCCTGGTAAGGCTGCTCCTCCCTGGGGGGAGGAGAGGAGGTCAAACAGCCAGCCACTGAGTTCATGTCAGAGAGTTTTAATTTCTAGTCTCTTATATTTGTCTAACTTTGTTTATTCCTGTTTTTCTTTATTGTTCAACAAGATGTTTTTTTTTTTACATCATGCTATTTTGTCCTTTATAATATTTTTCTGCATTCATCTTGAAGTTATTTCATTTAATCTTGTTTATCTTTTCTTTTGTGCTTTACCTACCTTGTTCCTTTACATCAATCCATTACTATTAATTTATACTACATAATATTTTAGTCCATGGTGTCTCTATATTGTTGCCTTTTCCTGCATCACTGGTGGTTTGGCAGTTAGCATTAATCACTGTGTTACTGTATCTGTTGAGTTGTGTTGTAGTCCTTACAGTGGCTTCTACTCACTGATGAGGAATGGGAATTGTGCCCTTAAGAGAAGGCCGTGACTAAGATCTCCAAACAAACCTGAGAACCACACCAAGAGATGCGCAAACCACAGCACAGAAACACACAATGTCAAGATAAATGACTCCTCCAAAGATCATGAGTCTTCGATTACTGAATCCAAAGAAACTAAAATGATTTAAGTGCAAGACAAAAACTTTGAAAGTCTACTTGGAAAAAAATTAACAATGACAGCTTTGATGAGAAATTAAGTGTCAGGTGAAATTCAACATGAACAGTGAGGTTTTTAAGAAAGAAAAAAAAAAGATGTATTGAGAATGAAAGTACCAGTAAATCTGGGGCTGGAGAGATGGCTCAGTCAATACAGTGTTTGTCCCGAAAGCATGAAGCTCCCTGGATCCCACGGAAAAAGCCAGATGCCCCCCACTGTGCACCTGTAATCCCAGTGTTGGGCAGGCAGGGATGGAAGGCTCTCTGGAGCTTGCTGTCTAGGTCAGTGAAAGACCCCAATTCAAAAACTAAGGTGGAGGGCCAACAAGATGGGTCAGCAGGTAAAGGTGCTTGCCACCAAGCCTGGTGATCTGAGTTCAATCCCTTGAGTCCACATGGTAGAAGGAGAGAATCAAATCCAAAAGTTGTCCAATGAATCTCCAAAAGCATGCTGTTAAACACCCCCACACACACCAAATATACATACATGCATACACATAAACACACAATAAGTAAGTGTAAAAGAAAACTAATGAAGAAAACACCCAGAAGCTGGGAGCAGTGGCACTTGTCTGTAATCCTAGCACTTGGGGAGGTAGGGGCAAGAAAACCTCTGAGTTCTAGGCTAGCCTGGTCTACGAAAGCAAGTCCAGGAAAACAGCTACACAGAGAAACCCTGTCTCAGAAAAATAAAAAACCAACCCAAATGAACCCCTGGCCTCCACATACAAGTACACACACATACACACACATGAACATACAGACACACACACAAACTTAGAATACGTGCTACCAATCACTTTTTGGGCAGTTCTTAACGCATTTTACTGTAGTGTGTGCGGCAGCTGAGAGAAATACATAAGACACAAAAAAGAACTAATGGGACCCACAAGCCTGCTGGGGAGAAGGCACATCGTTGGCCTGCTTTTCAGCTACAAGAAACATGCTTGGGGAACCAGAAAGCTGTACAAGACAGTCATGGTTCACACGGGGAGCAATCCAGAATACAGCATGATCAGAGAAAGATTATGTATTAGAGAAGAGAGTCTTAGTAGGTTTTGGTTTCCTTGTTAAATTCATTTTCTCCATGGTTCTGTCGTTCCTTTTTATTGACAATGAAATGCTGATAACAATCATGTAAGAAAGAGAATAGAAGAAATAGGATGTAGCGCTTGTGTCCTGGCACCTGGAACGCAGAGGCGGGTCTGTCAGGACAGCCAGAGAAACCACGTCTTAGAAGCAAAAGAATGTGAGCTGGCTGAGTGAGCAAAGGCATCCGGCTCCAGGCCTCACAAACTGAGCGCCTGAGGGACCCACATAGTGGAAACAGAGAATTTTGTCCTGTGACATCCACACTAGCACCATGTCACACACATGTGACAATATGTGGGGAGGAAAAAAGAAAGAAAAGAAGC